ACTACAAACGAAAATATTTTACTACAAACAACTACAAACGAAGTACTATCATTTTACTTATTAAAACTTTATTTATTAAAAGTCGGGTGCCAAGTTCACATAGGTGCAGCTTTGGGCACCTTTCAAAGAAAATTTATACAATTTTTATACATGTAACATTTTGTTCCGATCAATGCGGATGAAATCGCGTGGTAACCAATAGCGGAAGCAAATGAGATTCAAGCAATTTGACTTTGCACGCGTCTTTCTTTCATATTACTCGGACAAATTCGATAAAAATTTGATCACGTCTTGTTCCAATTTTCCTGTGTACAAAATCTCAATTCGCGAGAAGAGACGAGAGATAAGACGCGAGGAATTCTCTGACAATCCGGGCGGGGTACTCAATGACCTCAGCTATGCTGCTACGTTGGGTCGCCGGGTCACGCGGATACCCGGGTCGACGCATGGCGCTCGGTCAAGACACTCATCTACGACACTTGAATCCGAGTCATCGAAATCATCGACGACTGGTACCAGCTGAGACGGCGATCGCCAGTAGCATCATCGCCGGGTAAACTGAGAGGGAAATGTTGACCCACTTCGAGCTACCAGGCGACACCATATGCCATTTGCGGTCCTTCGTCGCGAAAGAGTAAAATCCCCGCGCGCATTTTCGAGAATCACGTCCGATCGCACAGATGGAAAGAAAAGGTCAAAGAGTAGTAAGTTCACGTTGCAAATACGTAGTTCAATATTGCTGTACTCAATATTGCACGTAATTCAGCTTTGAATCCGATTTCTCAACTTACTCGCCACGAACGTTAGCGCAAAACAACTTCCTTTTCCCTGAAAAAAGCGAGTTCGAGCGCGAGAACAACTGGACGTCGAGCGTGTCACTCCTCGGAGCGCACCACGAGTACTCGATTCAGCATGGCGCGATTCGCGTTCAGTGCCAATCTCTCGACGCGCGTCATCATTTCACGAACGACTGATTGTGACGCAACGACGATGAACGATGGACGAACGCGAACGTCGTAGGATTTTAACGAAATCACAGCAGTGCGTCGCCGAGCGCGAACGGGCGCGCTTTACTAGGTCGGAGTGAGGTTACGCGGCGCGTTGAGGTCGGTTGGTGACTGACTCTCTCCGGGCGTCGCGACGCCGACGCCACCTTTGCGCGCTGGTTTCCCCCCATCGGGGCGAGCTCAAACCCCTCGACGGGCCGCCGGCTGGCACTCCACCCCGTGCCCTGGCCCTCTCTTCCTGCAGCTGCAACTGCCGCCGTAGATTATACCGACCCACCGCCGACGAGTCCGTACACCTATCCGCGACCATGCACCTGGCGCGCTAGCCCTCCAAGGTGGCTGACCGACGCGTCAGAAGCTCGATACTCCTTCAACAATCGCTCCACAAGTGCCCGTGGTCATTTCAAACGCGACTCACATTCATTCATCAATTCTCGGATTTTTAGAAGCGCACAGATATGGAAACATTTTGTGCCGAAAGCCTATCTAAAAAATTTGACCACTTTAAATCAAGCAAATACGGAACTTTGTTCGTTCCAATGTTTAATTTTATTCATTTAAATAGTATTTTTCTTCTCAATTTTATCGCGCTTGATTACGGAATCTTTTCATCAACACTGTGAAAAAAAAAAAGTAAGAATTGCTCAAAGGGGAACTGAACTTCTTCTACAATTTATGCGATATTGGTTAAACTTCTATGAAAGTATGAGATTTTTATCCGCGCAAGAAGGTCTCCTCAATAAAGGTGACTCTGATTCGGTCTTTTCATTTAAATACTTCCTCTCTACCGCAGAATCCGATTCAAACGACCTACTTATGCAGGAAAGATATTTAAAGAACTTCACGCGGATATTCGCGGCACTGATCTCCGAGCTAAGAAATTAATTGAAAGCACTCGTCAACTTCATGAGTCTACGAAGATATGATGATGATAGGCAAGCAGCCGTTGATTGTCTCGACTTGAATGAATTAACTGGAATAAATTAAATTGCATCTCTGCGCGTATTGTCCGATATCTCGTCATCGCCGACATGAATACGTGTCTACAAGCGGATTATCTTCATTCCGTGACAGCTCGACGTACAATTATATCCTATTATAAATCATAGGCTATCGTATAAATTAATAGAAGCAGAGATATTTAGCTATTTAACATTAATATTTTATTCTATCAAATTTTAAAACAGTACCTAAAATACCATTTTTGCGATTCATTGTAAAATATAATAATATATATTTGCTATCATGATTGCGCATTTTCATTCCATTATAGCAGTTTTACAAGCTTAACAGTAGCTTTGCAAATATTGTGCAAATTACGTCATACATTCTTCATAAAAGGCAATACAGAAATGAAACTCCAGGAAACATCAAATCAGGAAAAAATATTTCGCGGCTGGATATGGAGAATGGAATATCATGAGAAAGGCTTTCTGCATATTACAAAGGAAGGAACAAAGTGATTTCCGCAAACAGTAGGATCGTCTTCGCCAGCGACGAAAGAACACGAAGTCGTAGCGGTTTAATTAAAAAATAGAAGTATCATAGGTAAATATAGATATAGGTGTAAGATGTTGGAGTGCGTGCAAAACCGAGATCAAAAAATATCGTGACGCAGTATATGGCTTCGTGACATTAAATTCTCAATTAAAAAAGCCGCAATTAAAAGTGACAAATCCCACGCGCTGATAGACTGAAAAGACGAGAGGAAGTACTTTTTCACACGAGTTTAAAGCTGACAGGAATTAGTAAATAACCAACCACTTCTAAGCCACAATGAGTATATTCCAGTATTACAAACGTACACAGAAAAATACGGCGACTTCAATAGAAACGTAAATGTAGGCGTCTATGCTGCTTAGAGTGCCAGCCGAGAAGAACATAGATCACAGAAATAGCAGAGGCGAACATTAATGCACTCATTAGTCGCCTAATAGCGCCACGGTGTATCGACTAGAGATATCGATTAAAATAGAGATCTTTTCGATCAGATTCGCTTTCTTACAAAAGCCGAAAGTAATATATAAATTCAATATAGGTTTTTGTGTGGTTAAGAGTAGATTCACGAGTTCTCAAAAATAACATTTGGATGACGAAAAGACAAAGCAAAAAATATAAGTTCGAAATTTTTAGTTGTATAACTTTTACCGCTGCATTTTTCGTCGAAGTCTGGTTTATGAAATTTCAATGTTTGCCGCAAAGATAAAAGATAAATTCGATGCGGCATCGAGTTTTGTTGTGATCGCACAATCGCAGAATGTCAATGCGTCTGTATTTTATATAAAATATGTATTGGAACAATCACTGATTTTCTGAACGTTTTTAACAAAATACGATAAAATCAAAGTATTATATATAATATCACGCATTTGTGTAAATAGAAACGAAGCTGCGGTTGATATTATTTCATTCATTTTATTTTGCATTATTCGTTATATATCCAAGTTTCGCAGCATAATAATACGGTTTTGAAACAAAAAAATAATAATTAAAAATTATTTAAAAATTTTAGAAATTTTCCGTGCATATTTTTAATTTTACAATAAAAAAGTTGCTAAATTTACATCGCAAAATTGAAAAAAGTGTTCGGTTTAATTTCAGACAAATTATTAAAAATTTACCTATATTATATTTTTTCTTCTTGAAATTAAATGTACTCACATTTTGTTCTGAAATCCACGATGAAAATAACTGTAGAACACTCATAACTGGTTGCAAATACATACCTGGAACAAAGAAGAACGAAAAACAATTAATTAAATTATTAATTAATATAACAATTAATTAAATTATAAAATACATATAAAATATTCAAAATTAAAAAATTTTCCAAACTCGATTCATAACTTATAAAATGTACAATCTATTCTGAATCAGAATTAAAGGTATTGTCAAAATATTACGGCATGTTTTGGCAAGAAGAAAACATGTCAATAATTCAGGCGAGCCGATCGTCATCCGTGCGGTTTTGTTGTCGCGTTTACATATCATTTCGTGACGTATTATGCAAATGTTATACATGTGTTGTACGTGTAGCACTATCGTTCTGATCATCTACGTGCTTCTTTATATTTAAACGACAAGTGGTCAACTGAAACTCCGACGACGGTGGTCGTTTTCAAAGCGATCGCGCCTCGCCTGGACGACGCGCGTGCAAACATGCTTATAGCCGATCCATACACAGTGTGAGACGCGACGTTATATCGTACAGACTCGGTCGACATATCGATTTCCAATTTGCCGTCTATATACCAAGAGGCGCGCAAAACCGCTAAGTTTATCGCGGCAATGGCGCACGTCGAAGAAACGATGTAATCCAGGGGTTCTTAACCTGCCGCGCCGCCGGATGTAAATCCGCCGCAATGACCCGCGCAATGCAAATTATTCGACCTCGGCGTCGGGACTGTGTGCTTTATTCAGATTAAACTTGCGAGAAACGCAATAAACAAGGTACGTAACTATTGCGCTAAAGCGAAACGCCATTTCTCTTCAAGCTGTCTGAATAGCTTTGGTGTTGGTTTGGAGATCGCTTTGATCCCGCTTGATTCTAATTAAGGAATGCTACGTTAATTGACATGTTCTACACACAAAATTTATGCCAAGTCTATGAAAATTGGAAGCACGGAAAGAGAAATGCAAGTTATTACGTGAGACTATTATATAGTTCTGCATCTGAAAATTATAATTCTATTCAAATTCACGTAGATTCAAGCGTAATAAGTTATAAGATGGCAGTATTATTATTTATATTGTTTCATTTAAATTATGAGCGCATTTAATTATAACTCCGTGCAGCAGAGATTCATAATTTATAAGGTGAACTGTATACAAAACCATATCTGAAACAAAAATAGAGAGAATGCGAACTTATGCATTTGTACTAAATCTTTCAATTACGATTAATTGGTTCAATGAACTCCCAAATACAATTCTAAATGCGAGTCTAAAGTTTTATCAAACAAGACGAGAAATTTATTTTTAACAATGTGCGATACTGCCAGATAAACTTATTGTTAGTCATACGTGTATCTTTGAAAATACGAGAGGAAAACTGAATTCAGTGTCACGACATCAGTCTTCTCGAGTCGAAGCTAAACTTCGCGCAAAGTTCGCAAAAGTCAGACGCGTTAGTCGTCCGCTTCAATCGAAAACTTTCGTCTTCCTCGAAAGATCTTACGCAACGCTGCGGAAATTCGCCATTCACGCGGCCTAAATGTACGTGGCGATTTCAAGAATATATGAGAAAGAACGAGTGTAATTGATATTTATTACAGGCGAGAGATCGCGGGAGGAATTTGTCAATCTTATATAGAAAAAGCTTTTCACTCGCACATGAAAGATTACAATGGGCCGGAAACATTTCACCGGTCTGCTTGAAAAATTCCGGCTACGACTCGACGTTCTGTTCCGGGCGAGGCGGACGGACTCCGCCCAGACGGACGGGATGAATGATACATTCTCCACCATCTCTCATTCTGCACTACCCATTTCACACTGCCGCCCACCATCATTTACTTCAACCTCTTTTGCGAAAAAATATTTACGCGAAAAGCGCATCGACCGCCCGGCGGGGAAGTCTGAAAAAACGTCGTCGCTTTGACCGACGTTTAACCACAAGTGCGCCGCGTCGCATCTAGAAAAATTCCCAAGACCGACTAATTTTACGTCGTGACGAGATTTCTCTCCTTCTTAAACGATACAAAACCGTCTTCAAAGTGTCTCGACCTCTCTTACAACATTGGTCTTCGCTAACGTAATGTCATCTTAGTGTCCACTTTGCAATCTGTCGGTATCGCTTCGCCGAAAGCTTTGAGCGAGCGGAAACTCTGTCGCACGCTTCACGTGCGACTTGCGCGCAAATCAATCAACTCATATCCGAAGTGACATACGTAGAGACAAAAGCTCTTCGGAAACGTCACGGCGTCGCAGCGTTGCCTTTTGAAACTTCTGCGTGTGTGTTTTTGGCGGGATAGAACGCTGCGGTCACCGGAATGATTTCCGCGTCAAACGCGCCAAGTGGTAACCTTCTAGAATTACATCAAAGCACTCGGCAACCTCGAGAGTTCGTCGACCTTCCGGCGGTGCGATACACAGGCTGGATACGTGGAAAATTTACGAGGAATTCCGCGAGCCTCGGGCGCTTTACCGAAGATGCAATTTTCTCCCACATTCCACGAACGACCGTGTACCCTGCACTTCACCGTGCCCACGTGAATAGCGCCGAATTTCCCATTCAACATTTCGTGCACGCGAAGGATGTGTTCGAAGAACGTTCCTATCGATCCTTCCACCGGCATGCATTTTTCTGTCCGTTGTATCGCGGGATTCGATCGGGCAACGTCGATTCATCGCTCCGCCGAGATGGCGGACCTGTCTGTCACACGCATCATGAAATTTTCCATTCGACTGAACGCACGAAATATTTTCTCACGGAACCGCGATCGATATTTTTGTCGAGTTGACGCGTGTGTTTCCTATCTCGCGTGTATTGCAAAACTCACTGTTCAAACCAGCTGCGCACACGATTATTTCGGATCACGCCCCTGGCGATATTTCCGTAGAATTGCAATCCATCAAGTATAAATTTTTAAATATAATTAATCGCTATTTTTCAATTAAAACTCTTCTATCGCACACCGCGTAACGCGTTTTGTTCGGTTTTTCTAAAAAAAAAATACTGACTTTCGAAATTCGTTCTCCATTACATGCGCATTGTAAAATACAATATCGGTGAAGTTTACGTTAGCAAAAATAGCAAAGCGTCGTGTTAAGCGTTACATGATGAAACAGCTTACGCAAATCGTTTTTCGCCGCTATAAATTGCGAAAATGAACGGTCGACGCGAAACAAAGTAACGAATAATGGAAGGGAAAACACATGGCCGCGAATCCGCGCCGGGAAACGCGAAAAACAGAGCTGCTTCGTAAGGAAGTTGACGTCGTAAACCAGAAGTGGCGCGTACCGAACACGTGTCAGTGAGATATAGAAATCCAGTATAACTTTGAATGTGCACCGTCTGTCCGCCTGCCTGCCGCAGAACTCCTGGGAGCGGCACATCGCGGAGACTGAGAGCGCGGAAACTTTTTCCGCCCACCCGGTAGACCGCGTCGAAACTTCACATTAGGCCGTGACGTAGTATCATCGGGTTCCTCTCAGACACCTTGGAATCCATTTCCGCCGCGAGGATAGGCGAAATATATAGGAGTTTGTAAAACTGATACGTGCACGGAAAAAAAAGATATTTTTATTTTAAAAATGAATGAATTGAATGGAAAAGAAAAAATGTTGGATAGAAAATAACATATTTTTCAAATAAAAGATTATAATTTTCTTAGAGTAAAATTAAATATTGTATTCTTCAAGTGATCATTATAAAATGGAAATAAGACTATAGTATTGTTAAGATTTAAGATTATTAAATTCTCATCGGAGGATTATAAATTGTTGCGTATATACGAAACAATGAACGCGTTAATTTGAATATATAAGCTTTGATTTGACACTACTTTTTTTCCGTGTGATTGCATTACGAACTATACTACACCGTTTTAACGCGCGACGTGTGAAGTTTCTTTGAAGTGTTTGTACAAGAAAGTAGCGTAAGCGCGTGACGTCCATTTATTACTCTTTAAAATTATCTACTCTTGTTCTTAAAAAATTTATCGGTCATTGCTCAAATAAAGCTCGTATTTTTGAAACTGCATTAAACTTTATCGATGCAATTTCTCATCGTTCGAGTGTCGCCGTGAGCAGCAGCGAGCGGTAAATATGAAGACGCCAAGGAGCAGGAGAGAGGAAAATGAATGTCGTCCGATTGAAAATTCAAATGTTCTTCGTAGACAGATCTCTTCTACGAAATTGCCGTCGCGCGCGCTGTGAATGCTCTGAAAGGGTTAAATCGCTGTCGACGTTAAGTGAATCTTCCTGCCGTTATCAATGCGATTCAATTTTCTACTTTATCCTTAAAATCGCCCCTGCGTTACATTAATGGACCCTGAAAGCGAAGTCTCGCGAGCCGAACTCCATTTTCTGACCGCAGCTTTCATCACATGAAATCCGCGTGCTCCACTTCCTCTTTCAATATTTTTTTTCTTCGCATTGGAGTGGAAAGAAAATAAATGAGGATCGTATGTAAAATTAATGGTAGGATATTATGTTCGAAACAAAAAGTTCTTTGTCCAATTGCAATTGAGTATAATTTGGCAGGACGTAAGAAAGTAAGGTTTTCGCTTACATGGCAGCGACATGTCGTTTCGATAAAGTCGACATCGCAATATCGCTATATTGACATTTTTCCGTGAGACGAGCAAATCGGAACCGATTTTGTAAACCAGAAAATAATGGTCCCGATGTATGAATTGCAGTGGCAGTATTTCGGCAAATACATTGATACTCGCGATTGATATTGATTTCCCATAACTCTTTTATAAAATCACTTTGACGAATAGCTGTCGATAATTTTGCGATAACACGCGGCATGTCTCACAGTCGTGAAAATTAAAAATTTATACCCGTGAAAGTTTCGCCGCGCCACGTCGAATGCTGCGGATATTTCGAAACTCGGAGAAAGTCGACTGCGAGATTAATCTGTGAGATTAATTAGCTGAAAAGTAAATTTTCGGGAGATACGACAGCATTATTCGAAAGGTGCGACAGGATTAACGCTGCGAAATCACGAGATTAAGATCAGACGTACGTCGTATTTACTGAAAGGGTAAAATTCCGG